CCAGATAGATGACTCCTTTTTAGGATCGATGTTGTCCGTTCGTCCTTCCACTTAGTTTGGTTCACCTTTACGTCGCCATTTTTTGGGGCCTCAAATCTCATAAACTTTTCAGGTGCTTATAATAGTTGATAGCTCGGAAATAAGTTCGAAACCATGGGGTACTCACTTCGGAGAAAACTAGGATCCATAGGAGCTAAAATAGAAAAAACCTTGTTAACCCTAGGTCACATTTTTGCATCAATCATCAATCAAACTTGGTCAGGATGCTTGTCTAGGTGCATTCAAACCATGGCCCTCATCTCGGAATGAAAAACTAGGTCACTCTGAGCTAAAAATAGAAAAACCTTGGGTTGTAAACACTCCAGCGGTTTCCACATTTTTTGCCATCAATCAATACCCATCAAACTTGATCCGGAAATGTTTGTCTAGGTGATAGCTCGAATGGTTCAAACATGGGTCATCTCGGATTGAAAAGGTAGGTCACCGGGAGCTAAAAAATAGAAAAACCTTGTTAACACTCTAGAGGTCACATTTTTGCATCAATCATCATCAAACTTGGGTCAGGATGTTTGTCTAGGTGATTCAAACATGGCTCATCTCGGATGAAAAATAGGTCACCTGAGCTAAAAATAGAAAAACCGTTGTTTTTAACACTCCAGCCGGGTCATCATTTTTGTGCAATATCAATCCATCAAACTTGGTCAGGATGCTTGTCTAGGTGATTGCTCAGCATGAGTTTTGAAATATGAAAGTCATTACGGAAGGAAAGACTAGGTCACAAGAGCTAAAAATAGAAATTTAACACTCCAGTGGTCACTTTTTTGCCTTTCAATCATCTCAAACTTGGTCAGGATGCTTGTTAGATGATAGCTTGGATGAGTTTGAACATGGGCACCTCGGAATGAAAAAGTAGGTCACCGGATACTCAAAATAGAAAAACCCTGCTTTTAAACACTCTAGGGGTCACATTTTTTGCATCAAATCATCACCAAACTTTGTCCAGGATGCATGCCCTTGTCTAGGTGGATGCTAGCGGATGAGTTCGGAACATGGTTTATAATCGGATGAAAAAACTAGGTCACATGAGCTAAAAAATAGAAAAAAACCTTGTTAAACTTTAGCCCGGTCAATTTTTGATCAATAATCATCAAACTTGGTCAGTGATTGTCCGTATAAGGTGAAATATTCAGATAGTTTTAAATATGGGCTCTTCGGATGAAAAACTAGGTCACGCGGAGCTTTAAAAAAAGAAAAAAACTTTTGTTTACACTCCATGCGGTAATTTTTGTCAATATCATAAACTTGGTCAGGATGCTTTTTTCTATGAAATACTTGGAGCGTTCGACATAGGTCAATCGCGCGAATGAAAAAGTGGGATTCGATTGGTCGGTGAGACGATCTAGGGCCACATCATGGGCCCCTGCTTGTTGATTAATGAGACTGCTGGATCAAAGGTCAAAAGGTCCTTAAGCCCAATAATATTTCAAATTTGCCTTAAATTACATAAACTTTTCTTATTTTTAACAGATTTGTTGGTCAAGAAAAAAAAACATGTGAAAAAAACTGATTGTAATTTTTAATTTTAAAGGATATGGCCTTTTACCTTTTTTGACCTTTATTTTTCAAATCACTTATTTCCCTTTTACAATTTTGTTTTTTATTTATGGACAAAAGAAATTTTACAAAACTGATTTTAAATTTAAATGTTTCCACGACATTTAAAGTGAAATTTTCCTTGTGGTCATATTAATTTAATTTGCTAAAGTTTTTATAAATTTTTTTTTTTTATAAATTATTAGTCTAATTGGAAAAAGGTTTTAAATTTATACTTTCAATGTTTTATACAAGTAAAATATTGAATAATTTTAAAAATTTTTTTGGGAAATTTTTTCTTTTACTGGGAAAAGTCAAATATGAAAATTTTAGATTTTAATTTTTTTTCAAGGAAATTTTGTTTTCCCACATGGGGTTTTAAATTAAATTTAGAAAAAGAAAAAATCGACGCTTCTCCACATGTGGGCTTGGTCTTGTGTTTAATTGCCTATCGACCTACATATCCTTAAAATACCTTTTATTCAGACCCGACAAATTTGGTACTTACCTTTTTTTAATGCCTTATATTATGCTTCAAATTTGATATTGAAAATATTGATAATTGAACACGCATTATTTATTATTCATGAAAAAAACACGTTTTGACTAAATTCACACTGAGTAGATATGTTATGTTTAAAAATTCCTACACACTAAAGGTGGTTATAGTAGTATATGTGTTTTATTGTGAAAATTTGTTTTTAAATTACACAATCATCATGTTTATTACCTGTACACTCTTTTCCTGGCATTTTGTATGTTGCAGTTACTACAACCGAAGAAATTATGTATCATTTCATTTGGATTTTAATGTGCCTTGCTTCACTACTATTTGGGTGGAATTAAATATTGCATATTGGAACACTAACAACATTGTTCCTTTAATATTATCATTCTATTGTTTTAGCTCACCTGTCACAAGTTGAACATGGTGAGCTTTTGTGATCACTTTTTCGTTCTGGCGTCCGTCCGACCGTCCCTCCGTCCGTAACTTTTATTTAAACGGACACTCCTCATAAAAACGAATCCAATTTCAGCCAAACTTCACAGGAAATGGTTCTTTGGTGGTCAAACTTCTAATATTTTTCAAAGAATTTAATTCCCTGCAAACTCTGGTTGCCATGGCAACCGAAATAAAAAAAAAACTTTAAAAAAAAGTCTTCTTTAAAAAATCAAAAGAGGTAGAGGCTTAGATATTTAGCATGAAACCATAGTCTAGTCAGTGTCCACCAAGGTTTGTTCAAAATAAGAACCATGGGTCAAAATTTGTCCCTGCCCCGGGGTCATTCATCTCCCGCCCGGATATGTATATGGTAAAACTTAAAAAAAAATTCTTTTAAAAATCCCAAATAGCTAGAGCTTAGATATTAAGCATGAAACCTATTGTAGTGAATGTCTACCAAGTTTGTTCAAATAAAAGCCCTTGGGTCAAAATTGGCCCCGCCCCAGGGGGTCATTGATTTTCATTATACATGTATGTATAAAGAAAAAAACACACAAAAAAAATCATCTTATAAAAAACCCAAAGAGTTAAATCTTTAGATGTTTAGCATTAAACATCTTTCTTGTGAGTGTCTTCCAAGTTTGTTCAAATAAAAGCCCTTGGGTCAAAATTGGCCCTGCCCCCTGGTTTCATTTCTTTTCTTTATAATTATGTATATTATGAGTGAAAACTTTTTAAAAAAAGTATTTTTTTTTTTTTTAAAACCAAGAGCTAGATTTTGGATATTAAGGCATGAACATCTTCTAGTTGTGTCTACCAAGTGTGTCAAATAAAAGTCCTTGGGTCAAAATTGGCCCCGACCCGGGTTGTCATTGATTTTCCTTATATATATATAATATATATATATATATAATATATATATATATATATATATATATATTATATATATATATTATATATATATATATATATATATATACAAAAAATTGAAAACAAGTGCCGGAAAAATCACATATAAATAAAACAAAAAAAACAGTCCATGAGTTAACTTATTTAATTATTTTGCCAACCGGTTTCTCTTATGATCATCGGGCAAATGTGACGTCGTCATATATACACATCTGTTGGAAATGGTTGTTTTTCCCCTTACCCATCCAATGCCAACCAAGAAACTGGCAAGGATGAAACCCGGTTTTTTATTAAAACCCTTGTAGTAAATATGTTTTAGTTTTAAATAAAATAAAAAGCCCAAAAAAAATGTAATAGGGGCCCAAAGTAATCATGGTAATGAAATTTTTTTTTTTTAGTAACTGCTCCATTGACCCTAGGGACCAAAAAACCTCCCCCAAATGGGTCTTTTTAAAAAATTGCTTTACATCAAAAAATTTATAAAAAATTTTTTATTTAAAATAGTTATTTTACTGGAAAACCCAATTTTTCATTTTTTTGGGAAAGTACCCGGGCTGGAAAAAGATTTTTATTTAGAAACTAAAGACCTTGACCCTTTACTCTACCAAAGACCCAAAAACAAAGGGGAAAGAGCTGCTAAATGCAAAACATAGAAGTTTTTGTTTTTTTAACCCAAAAAAAAGTTTGTTGTGATAAAAAGGATATATTACACTAATCATTAATTTTTATGGAAAAACAAAGGGCCATAATTAGGTAAAAACTTATCCAATCACAAAACCCCTACAATATGCATCAGGGCACTTGATGACAAAGCTTCTTTGAAAGTTTGAACAATTTCACTTAAGAAATGTAGAAGGAGTTGCGCTACAGAAGAAATTGTTCACTATATATTCTGTATAAAGAAAAGAAAAAAAAGTGGCATAATTAGGTAAAAAATTATCCAATCACAAAACCCCAACAACATGCATCTAGACGCTTAATGACAAAGCTTCTGTGAAAGTCTGAAAAAACTCCTTTGAGAAATGTAGGGGGAGTTGCACTTAGAATAATTTATTCACTATATATTCTATATAAGGAAAAAAATATCAAAGAGCCATAATTAGGTCAAATATTATCCAATCACAAAACCCAGACAATATGCGCCAGGGCATATGATGGCAAAGCTTTCTGTGAAAGTTTGGTCAAAATCCCGTTGAGAAATGTAGGAGGAGTTTGCGCACAGAAAAAAATGTAAACGCCCCGCCCGCCCGCCCGCCGACATACCTCATCTAATAACCAGTTTTCCCTCGGAAACCTGGTTAACTTAGTAATGTTTTTAAACATGCATTATTCAGAAACAATGGACTGCTTTTGTCATTAGTTTACAATATTACTTGTTCCTTGTCATGGAGAGTTTTTATACACAGGTGAACGATTTCAGGGCCACCATGACCCTAATGTTACGAATATTTATACTTTATACATTTGCAGATATATTTTTAAGATGCTAAACAGTCACCAAGTTATTGTTTTATCTCATGATGCTGTTGATGTTTTTATTGGTATCTCTTTTCAGTACCAATGAGGCAGTGAAACCAAAATGTGCTGACTTTGTTAAGATAGAAATTGACAAACGGATTTACAAAGAGTTCTGTGAGGGAATTACGGACATTTCGGACCACGGACGTTTCGGACCAGACACTTCGGACCAGATTTTTTGGTCATTTCGGACCAGATTTTGGGACAAATCGGACCATGAGATGGTCATTTCGGACCAATGAATATGGTCATTTTCGGCCATGATGGGGCCATTCGGACCAGAATTTTTTTTCAACAGACCATTTTATTCCTTTTTAATATTGATTATTTGTTATTTTCAGGGTGTTTTTGAAAATTGATTTTATATACAATAAATACAATACAAATTTTATTCAGCATAAAAACATAAATATGTTTAGAGCCAATACAAACAAAAAAATGTTCAGCGACAGACGATGACAAAGAAATGAAATCTTTATCCGAGAGAGTAGTTCAAATTACATAAACAATTCTAACAAACTATCTAGATATACAAAAAATACCTAAATATATTGTTACATATAGATATAAAAAAGAAGTTCTAGTTATTAAGGAAAATAGAGTTAGTAATAAAGATATTTAATTTTGAGAGAGTGTATTTGAGATTTGCGGTTTTTCTTCTTATTATTATATATATATTTATATATATATATTATATATATATATTATACATCTTTAGGCAGTAAATTTTTACCAAGTTAAAAATTGTGTTTCTGGCAGGTATAAAGAACAACGACGACTCCTTGTCAGTGCAGTTTTTTCACACGCTTTAAATTTGCTGAATAGAACTCGTTTGTGTCACCTTTCACTCAATTAATGAAGTATGTATTGTAATTTTTGTAAACCTAATTTGACAACAAATATTTAAATTGATTGGTTTGATTGGAATGCGATTAAAGTACAGTTTAAATCAACAATAAACAACAAACAAATGGATTAATTATTTGTCAAAAATTTGATGTCCAGGCTGCAATATAACACAGTGTTAAAATTTATTTCATTTCCATAAACTTATATAGCTTACAAACTGAAAAAAGTTATATTTTGTCCATGTCTTTTTGTATATACTTTATAATAAATTGTTTGCAAACGTGTGTCACCAAAACATTGCTTGTATTGTTTTTGTTGTTGTTTTTTACCTTAATTTTCTTCATTTATATTGCAAAAATATATAAAATCTAAATCGGGATAGGTGTAGTATCGTTTCCATGGTGTCTAATATAAACTAAAGCTACTTTTAGTTTATTGATTAATTGATGGCTAATTTCATAAATAATATTTAATCTGGTCCGAAATGTCAAAACAATGGTCCGAAGTATATAATACATGATCCCAAATGTCCAAAACAATGGTCCGAAGTGTCTAACACATGGTCCGAAATGTCCAAAAATCTGGTCCGAAATGTCCCGAAATATGGTCCGAAGTGTCCAAAAATCTGGTCCGAAGTGTCTGGTCCCGAAATGTCCATGGCCGAAATGTCCTATTACCCTGTGAGGTATCCGATGGTACAATCGTTTGTTCTTACCAAACTGATGCAAAGACAGACACGTGGTTCATCGCAATATTTTCTCTTAAATCTTTGGAGGCAGTGGACTCCAAGGAACTTGCATATGAACCGCTTGGCTTGTCTGCAGTTCAAGTTACCAAGGGAGATTATCCTTTTATACGTGAGGGAAAAATATTTACAGTGCAGTCTGCAACTGTTTGGCAATTCTAGCATAAGCGCTTGGGGAAATTGAGAAAACACCTGTTCTTTTTCATGCAAATAAAGTTAAAGTAGCCAAAATAGTTCAAAGTGACTTTTATATTGTGTGTTGTAAAACAAGAGTTGAAATTTATGATTTGAATTGGACAGAAAAGAAAACCATTGAACATACGAAGATGAGCCTCTTATTCTTAACAATTTTTCTATAGCACTTCATCTACTAGCAAAAAAGAAACATAACTGACCTAAACAGTAGGGCATAATGAGTTCTATGTTAGCTCGTTAGAAAGGATAATAGTATTTAATCTGAATGGAGTAGTCCTGGACAAATTAGGTACAGAGTCCATCAAAATGTATGTTCAACAACCAAATGCTTATCACTTTGAAAGAAACGGAAAAGTCAGAATTTATGAACATTCCGACGACACATATGTATGTAATTTAATCACACCACCGCGTGTTGCCCTGCATCGTATGTATTACGGGAAGAAGAACAAGCGTCTTTTCGTTGCAAATTTCAACACCTGGTCGACGTGTGTCGTGGAAACTGAATAATTCTAGATGCAATGATGGGCAAATCAGCAGTTGTTTATGACATTGTTTGCTTAATTTAATGCCAAGAGGTATGTAAATATTTGACAAGTGTTGCTACTAGGACTGTGTGCACCAACATGTTCTGTTTAGGCTTGTAATCTGTAATAAATATACTTATCCTTTACTAGTGTGTTACCAATGTGTGGAATTCTGTTATAGATCATTTCAACAAACTTGGTAATACTAATACAACAACAGTTTTACTTTATACATATAAGGGAACGCATGCCCTCTTGGACGAGGGCTATAAAGTGAATAATGTTTGACAGATACACTAGACAATGGCTCATGCTAAATATTTTGAAGGTTTTTTCTGTACGCAATCTGCTGTGGTCATAGTATTATTTTTACAAAAGGTTTATCTCTTAGATTTGGTTTGCTAAATTGCTAATCATGGTCATGCAACTACATAGTTAGGTGAAGAAGCAGGCGCTTGTTTTGGTTGAGTCTATTATGTTTTGTTTAGGGGGTTGAGTTGTCATACACAAGTTTACAATTTATATGCATTTATTTTTTTCCAATGATTGTTATTATCTTAAATGCTTCTGGGGTTGTTGTTTTATCAATTCATTTGTAAATAAGATTGTTATATGTCTATTAACGGAATATTTCTAATGAACACGAAATTAGTTCACACCTACATGTGTATTGGTAACGTGATGGTTTAAGCCAATGAAAACACGTTAATATTATTATACTCAGGCAGAGAAAAAGTGTGCAAAGAGTAAATCGATAATCTTTATGTAGCCAGCAAACTTTGAATTGCAAGTATTTTTTCATATCTTTTCGGCAGGATAAACTGTCCGAGGATTCGTATCGTAAAATGGCTGCCATTTACAGTATCAAGTGATTATCCCAAGCACCACCGCGACTTAGCGCGGGAATTTTAATTATAGCTAACCTCGGCGCGTATACCTTTTTCATATTTTATTGTAATAAATATTTACAAACTGTGTCTTTTGGGATTTTTTTATCAATATATTTCCAATAATGATGTTAATATGAATAAATAATCATATCTCAAATCTTTGACTATGATTTACAATGAAATTCTACCTTTAGTGTATTAAAAAGGTTTTTAATTTCCTATAATTTTATTTTGTGATTATGCTTCAAAGCAGTCAATTGACCGTGAATTTTCTTTTCATATTTTGATTTCCTTGAAATCATTTTTCTCATCTGAAGTCATGCAACTTTAATATGGTGATACATTAATTACATTCCATGAAAATGTTTAAAGAAATAAAATATCTCATGACATGTTTGTTCATTTTACATTACACCTTTAATTCAGCAAACATAAAGTCTTCACAAAAAGTAGTATGCAATCGTACCTATATTACATACGAATGTATGTAATATTTTTCTTGTTTAAGAAGTATTTCATTCATGTCAGAGGAAAAGCCATGACTCCCGGGGCTATGATTCGATCAAGTTTTGTAGAGTTTTTATTAGATAATGCTACACACAAGGAAATTTTTATGCCTTCCAATTTCAGAGACAAAGATTCTTAAAGAATTCAGTTTTAAAATATTTTTTAGCCCCTGTTACCACAATCTTGAATGGAGCAGAACCATTTGAACAATTTAAGTAAAGTTTTATGCTACGAATATCACAGGAAAATTTCATCAAATTTGACTTAGTTGTTTCAGAGTAGAAGTCGTTTGTAAACATTTTAACGACGGTCGCACTGACGGACGATGGACAAATCAATATGACAAAAGCTCTCCTTGAGCACTCTCTGTGCTCATATGAGCCTTAAAAAGAAGAACTTGTTTTAAAGTTTTGGTTCGGATCCTGAATCCAATTGTCAAATGCTGAACTTGTTGCATTTTTAAGATATATGTTAATTGTACATGCTTTTGTGATGATTTATACTATTATAAATGACAAGTTGACATATAGATAGACTTTAAGCTTTTATTTCATTTCACAATTCATAAATATGAATGTGTACAGAGTTCATGTGTAAGTATGATTGATAATACATGTATATTTTGAGAATTTACGTATTTGTAATATGCTTCGTTGATAGATAAGAGGAAGCTGTTGTGTATATATGATGGTTGAAAATGCCGTTTTAGGTAGTTAGCGTTTAGACTTACACCGGAGTTGTACTATTTATGTAGTGAATAAAATATATGAAACACAAAGTCTTCGTTTCTTTTCACACAATACCACATAGAAACCTAGGTGTCGCAGACTTGATCCCACGCTGCAACACTTACAATAGTAATAGTCTTTTGGAAGATCACCTTAAACAACGGAACACATAAATTTCAAGTCAAGTTTAAATGTTTTAACGAAGCCCTTAATTAATACATTTGTATCAAGTCGGAAATAGGGAATTTTAATGTTCAAATTTTATCTTAAGTCATGTCCTAAACAAACACGAAGATTGTCAAAAATATTTGGGCTTTTCTTGGAGAAATGAACGGAAAATTACATTTTTGTGTCGCCTTGAGAAGGCAACATATAGGGGTTACTTTGTCTGTGGTGTCAGCGTCGGCGGCGTCGTCTGCGTCGGCGTCCCCTAAAGCTTGTCCAGAGCATTACTCAGTCACTATAAGTCGGATTGACTTCAAACTTGGTATGCATGCTTCTTTCAATAACCCGAAGTGCAGTGCACAAGGACAGAAAGCTCAACACGACAAAATTAAAAATTTGCTGGCTCGGGTTGATTGAGCCTGTTCATGGACGGTACTGGAGAGTGCAAGTTACCGTCCACGCCTCCTAGCACCGGCTTAAGCAGAATTCAACATTAACACGAAAATGT